AGATTAGACCCTGAACCACCCGGTCCTGGTTTACTGGGTAAAGTTAAAGTTTCCACAGAGCTTTGACCATCAAAGCCAATGTTAACCACATTAGCCACACAACATGCTAACTCTAAGATCCTCCTGTAGCTGTGGGGACCAGCAGTACTCCCAGTAATCCCAGTAATCCACTGGGTGTTCAGCTCCTGCATGAAGACTCTTGTGTTCACTCTAACAGCAGAACATTTGGTGACTTTTGCTCGTGGTTCAGACATTTCAGAGTTTAGCAGAAGCAGCTTTAGAGAGTAAACAAACCTGGTGGACGGTGAGGCAGCTGCTCATTCTGATTGGATACCTGGAAGCAGTGAGGGGGCGGGGCTATACAGAGCTGCACCACTATTGGTTAGTTAGCTGTGAAGTTGTGCTGGTCAGATTCTAACTGGTAAAGCTGGAGGTGAACTAGCTGTGAGAGGTTTCAGGAATGAGAGAACTCAATGTCTTCATAGCTGAACAGATTTCGTTTAACAAATCAGAGTTTGTAAAATGTAAACATAAATGACATGCATACATGGATCAATAGACTCCTGAAACCAGAAACAAGCACATGGCTCTGTTGTCAGAAGGCTGTTTGCATTATGAGCAAGGCAGACGCAGAGTAGTTTTATAGAAGCATTATCTCAAATCACAAATCAATATGTCAATTAATCAAGACTTATTACTAACAAGCCAACCAATCGTTTAGCTCCGTCTCTGTGCCCATCAGCTGATGTGGGTTCGTTGAGCTGCTTTAAAGTTAGTTGCTGTCTCCACGGAAACGCTGCTGAACCTCCTGCTTCCTGTGTATGAGTGACCCGTTAGCATAACTCCTGCTAGCAGCTAGTTGGTAGTCCACATTATTTCCTCGAAGAGCTGCTTGTGTCGGTCTGAGCCCAGAGATCTGAGCTTACTGACGTTACCTGGACTAGGCCTGCTGCGATTGGTTCCCACAGACAGGTGTTTTTGTTCAGTCCAGAGTCCTGAGCACTAGTGTGTCCCCGGACGGCGTCCTCGGCCTGGACCTGTCCTCCCTGCTGTCTGTCCTGTCCCACGCTGAGAGCGCCCTCCGCTGGAGACACGAGGAGCTGGAGGTCAGTGATGCTCACACACTTCCTGCTGAGGTCACAGCTCGCCGCCATCTCACTGCGTCTGTCTGTCAGGGGGTGGAGCTTTCTCTTCGGCGCTTTGGCGAGGACAACACGACCCTGAAGCTCCGCCTGGAACAGCTGGAGGACGACAACCTACAGCTGAACACACAAACACAACACACACAACAGGAGCTCACACACACCGTGGACCTACTGAGCAGGTACACACACGCGCACGCACACACACACACACACACACACACACACACCACAGATACACAAATACAACACAGTGGTGTTGTTTTGTCCAGCGGGTAGCTGTGGCTCAGCTGGAAGAGCAGGTTGTCCACTCATCATCAGGTTGGTGGTTCAGGCAGCATCCTGCATGGCAGCTCTGTCACCATCGGTGTGTGGGAGTGTGAATGAGAAACACATGGGAGTGCTTTAAGTAGCACTATGTAGGAAGGAGCTGTACAAGTACAGACCATTTACACTCACAGCCAGTTCAAACAGAACCATCTGATCCACTCATTAGACTCAGACTCTGCAGTGGGAAAGTCTGAGGAGCTCAGCAAAGATCTGGAGAAGAACATCAGTGACTGGAACCAGTCAGAAAGTCAC